TCCAGCAACTGATGGCATATGACAGAAGTGTCCCATGAACAGAGGGGGGAGTGCAGGCTGACCTTAAGGAGCGTCAGATGGATACCCTACCCTGTCCCTCAGAAGCCCCTGCCTCCATCTCCCCCAGCTTGTTGATGACCACTTGGATAACAATGATTACATGACTAGATTGTTGAGTAGGTAAAGCATCCCATACCTTCCAGTGAGCTGCAATTCCAGTGTAGCACCCTACATGCTTTTCCATCTGAGTGCCCTGGGTTGGAGACCTGGCTTTCACTGTTAGCAGCTGAGCCGCAATGGTCCCCTCACTTCGCTGCCCAGGCTTCCTAGCTAGGACCTAAGGGTAGGAAGTTCACGGATCTGGGTGAAGACCAGCTGTGTTAACAGAGAGGAGAGGCTTAACCTAGAGGGGCTGCTCCACGTGACAGCTCCCCCCGCTCCCCGCTTCAGCAGGCACTGCTGTGCAGGTCACCCGTCAGGGAAATGATGTGTCTCCAGTCCAAAGCAAAGAGTGTGGTAACGAACAAGTACAGCCAGGCCATGGAGAAATGCACTGCTTTGTAAGACCATTTGATAGGCATTTATGGGCATTTCTAGTCGCCTTCACAAGGTAGGTGAGGGCAGGTCAGCAGGTTGACGGAGCTCTGTTTGGGGATGACAACCAGGATATAACCTCCCTTTACACTCAGACAGCTGAGGTCTAGAGAGGGGCCCTAGCCCTTACAGAATTTTAAATCCTGGTTGTCTGAATGCTGGCCCCTGGTGTCTATACCATCCAGGACTCCTGCTAGCTTGAATTTCCAGAGACCACAAGGACTTCCCAGCCAGAGTCAGAGTAGCCAGAGGGTGAACTGCTTGGCCAGGGATCATGGACAGCTCAGGGCCCAAGCTAGGTGGGAAAAGATCTGATTTCAGTGTGACATGGCCACTGACCCTATCCATGACCTCCCCTGCTCCAAGCCCTGGTTTCCTCCATCCACAGTGGAAGGAACTAATCCAAAAGATTTGTACAGCTGCAGCAGCTTGGAGTATGTCTGCCAATTCCAGCTATCCCGGATTTGCAGCAGTGGCCTCCCCTCCTGCTTAGGCACTGGCGTGAGGGTTGGGCTTGGCAAAGAACCATATCACCAAGAACACCAACCCTGTGCCTGCAGCGATAAGAAGGCCATGTGTGCCAAAGGAAGTGATGACACAACTGAATTGCCACAGCAACCCTCTCAGTAACTTCCCTTGCAGAGCCCAGATGCCAGATGAACAGTCAGGAAATGACTTCAGGAAGAAACCCAGAACCCCATGCCCTTAGCTCCTCTGTGCTTGGGAGCTGTTCTCCCAGGAACAGATAAGGATCACTCATTGGCAATTAGTCCAGGAAACACAGCCTCTGGGCAGGAGTTGGTGTGGAGGAAGCCCAGCAAGTTTACCATGGGATTGAGGGAATTCACTCCACCATCTAGAGTAGGTGACTGGGCAATGTCAGCATGAGTGAGAGCAACGCATCACCCGCAGGGCCTGGAGGAGATCCCGGGCTTGGACTGCGGCACTCAGCCCCAGCAAGAGCTCAGGCTTTGGGGCTGGCATGTCAGGTGTCAAATCCTGGCACTACTACCACCATGATTCAGTGGTTTCAAGAAGTCATCTTTCTATAAAATGCAGATCTTATAGGAAAGCTTAAATTCAAATGGAAAAAAGTACGTGTATTGCTGTAGAGTGTTGTGGTTGGCTCAGCAGTGAAGCATGCATCTGAAAGTATGGATTTCCGGTGCTCATGTAAAGTTCTGTTCCTGGTCACAAGTAAACTAACATATATTGGACCAAGTCACCTTTGAGGGTAATTTTTTGAAACTGGATTGACCATTTAGGGCATCTTTTAAAGGCATGGGAAAGCTAAAAAGGCAGTAGGAACTGAAGTGGGCCAACCTCTCAGAGAAAAGGAAAATAATGTTTTGTTTGAGCTTTTCCCTGAAGGTATTTCCCAGTTTATAGGTGGCAGTATGGCCAGGACACTAGGGAATCAAAATGATTCTTCAGAGGGAGGGGCCCTGTGCGTCTCTGCCAGCATTTAGCTGAGTGGCCCACAGGGCCACAGTTTAGGGGTCTTTGGTTAGACAGACAAAGGCCAAAAGTTTCCAGACCATACAGTCCCAGAGTGGGTTAAGGGCTCTGGTCACAAGAGAAAGGAAATCGTTTCTAGAGGAATTGCTTCCAGCGTCACATGCTAAAGTTTTTCATACAGTGCTGGGCATTCAAGAGAAAATAAACTCATCTTCCAGAAAAGACCGAATGACCAAAACCCGAGAACAATGAAATAGACAGTAGGGCTGAACCCATAGTAGACCCACCTGTTGGAGCTTTCAGCCATGAACTTTAAATATATTTAAGAATATATTTAAGAACATAAATAAGGAGAAGTCTTGCCACAGAAAGTTAGAATCTATGGGAAAGAACTGGGTGGAAGTTCTAGAACCAAAAAGTTGTAACAGCTGAAATCGAAGAGGAGACATAGTTGAAGGGAAGACAAGGGTACTGAATGACAATTCAGTAGAAGAATATCTAGAATGAACCAGAGATGGGGAAGACTAGAGAATACAGAACCAAGTGTGAGAAACATGTGGCACCATGTGGAACCTGAGTGCAGTTAGGGTTTCCAGAAGAGAGAAAACAATGGGAGACGGCAATCCAGACTTCAGAAGCACCAGGATTCCCAAGTCAGAGAAACATAAAGAAAAACCTAACTGGGTTCATCACAGAAAAACTGGGAGACCTAAGATGGGGGAGGGGGGAAGATGGCAGATTCTGGGACTGTGCAGCCACCTAGGGCCTCCCAAACCTGTCCAATCTCTTCTTCCTAGAGTCTAGCATCATTTGTGCTGAGGCAGAAGGTCTAACCCTTCCCCTTACCGCCCCCCCTCCATCAGAGGCACAGCCCGCAGCCTCAGCTTGAGCCTTAACTCCCACCTCCCACCGGGAAGGAAGGCCCTGCCTCTGTCCACAGTGTTAGGTGGAGCAGGGCTTTGAAGGGGGTCTCCCAGAATCTCTGAGAATGAAATCCTTCTCTTTCAAATGAAGCCAGACTGAGCATGCTGGATCGTATCTTTTGTTTTTTGACTGGGGTCACAGGCTGTCTTTACTTGCATTTATTCCAGTCCCTGAAGCCCCCAGTTGGCTTCCTCTCTGGGCCCCAGTTTTCTGGGCTGTAAAACATACATTCAGGGCCCTTGTTAACAGGTCTGGAGACAGCTGTTGGACTCAGACACCTCCAGCCATGAAAATGCAGGCTGAGCAGCTGTGCCTTCAGAGGCTGTATCTTCTCTGGCTGAACTGTCAGCTACAGGCTACAGATAGCAAGGTGTTCCATGCAAACGGGGAGCTTCCTAAGGCATGGGGGTGCTATGGACAACCTCTTGGCTAGGATTTGGGGGTCTCTAACTCCCTTCCAGCTTGATATAGCAGCAAAATGGCTCTGGCTGGAGTTTCACCTCTCCGCATGTGACAGGTAAAGGAACCCTGGAGTTGGTAGCTCTGGACAGGCCTGGGGGGCAACCCTGCAGGCCCTCTGACCTGCTTGAGCCAAGCGGGTTCCTATGTGTGTTTCCATCATGTGAAGGAGCTGAGCTGTACCTCCCAGTTGCTGCACCTTTATGTAGTTACCCCAGAGGGAGTGGATTGGGACACTCAGGAGGATTCTTCCCCTGGGGCAGTAGGCCACCGGACAGCTTCCAAAGCGGTGTGATGGGCCTCCCAGAGCCATCTGTGTCATTTGCCTTCTGTGTCAACCACAACCACGAGGAGCTGGCTCATCCGTACTGAGTCCTCACTCTTCTCAGCACTTTGCTTGGCTGGAAGCATTCTGTGATGACCACGTCCTCCTGTTGATGCCCCACAACACCGAGCACAGCGTGGAGGCCTCTGGTCCTGGTGGCAGCCTCCGGTGCCTCTCCCTGCACACTCTGCCCCGTCTCAGCCCCTGCCCAGGACTCTCACCTGCTGTCATTCCACAATTTGGACACAACTCATCAGCCCTGATCTCACCCTTTTGGGGGAATCTCATGTTATAGAAAGGACTTCTCAAATACCAGTCTTGGGTTGCTAGACTCTGATGACATTCCTCTTGCATTTGAATCCATGCGCAGAACATAGCATTCCAAGCATAGGTCCCAGAACCACAGAATCCCAGAGAGGAATTCTGGGATCCAATAGCCGGGCTTGGAGTCCAGGGTCCACAGTAGAATCGTGAGCAGTGGAAATCTAATAGCACACCCGGGCTAGAAAAGGCGCAGGGAGCTTGGGGCTGCTGCAGCCCAACTGGGCCCCACTGGAGACTGTCGGCCCCCACTGGCTGCCTGAACCATCAGGAGGGCCTCCCTCTCAAGTGCCACTCACTCAAGGGCCTCAGCTGACATTCAGGAGCATTCATGTCCCTGGTGTAGACAGCAAGTCCCTTAGGTCCTGGCCTGCAGTCTTGGGTGAATGGCTAGGCTGCTCTGAGCGTGTCTCTTCATCAGGTCGAGGAAGGTTCTGGTCCAGTTCATTGCCAAATCTCCTTCACTTAGGGGAGGAAGTTGTCTAAATTCCAAGAGTGGCCACCTACTCACTCATTAGGACTCCTGATGGAGGTGGAGTGGGGGTGAGGGTGGGGTCTCATCTCATAAGCTCTGTTGCAGAGTGTTTAGAGCTATTCACTTAGTCCAGCAAGGTTACCTGGAGGCGGAGGGGCTGCGTCCACCTGGAACTCAAAAGAAAATGGAAAGGGAGAGAAGATGGCAGGAAAAAGGACCCCAAGGACTGTGTGCCATATAGACTAAATTATTGTCTCTCAGAACCAGAGGCAGGGGGCTGGCCAAAAACGTAGCTACAGAAGTGAGCGTTGGGCTGGAGGCTGAATCGTCCACTGACCCCCTCCCTCTGCTGTGTGTCCACAGGACTGCCGTGAACTTGTGGGACGCTCCTGGTGGACCAGCAGCTGGAGGTCCGCTTGATGTGTGCCCGAAGTGCGTAGGCCGATGTCTTCTGCTGAGAAGAAGCGCCCGGAGCCTCGGGCGCGGGCGCCCAAGGCCCGCACTCAGGGCTGGCTGCCCGGCCTGCCATCACCCGCGCTGTGCTGCGCCTGCGGTCTGTGCGTGCTGCTGGCGGGCGTGAACGTGACGCTGGTGGGCGCCTTCACCTCCTTCCTGCCCGGACACAACGCGCCGCTCATCGTGGGGCCGGTGCTGCTCGCCCTGGCGCTGGGCTTCTTCGCTGCCTGCTGCGTGTGTAGCCGCCGGGGCCCCGCGCCCCGGGCGCGCCCGGCAACAGCAGCCGCGGGATATTCGGGCCAGGGCGGTGGCCGCTTGGGGCGGGTGGCGCTGGAGATGGAGAGCAGCGAGCGCACGGCGCAGGACACCACGGCCGTGCAGCTGAGCCCCGCTATGTCGGCCGCGTCCTCTGACCGCTCCAGTCCGGGTCCCGGGCCCTTCGCTCTGGACGCTCCCGCACCCGCGGTCGTCTACGCGCCCCGCACCGAAGGGCCCCAGCTCAACCTGCCCCTGGAGCGGGCCGCCCCCTAGCGGACCAGGACCCCGACCGGACCCCTCTGTCTCTGTCCGTTTAGTGCCGTTTAAGCATGAACAAGCGACATGCTTGCCATAAGGATCCAGTGCTGGGCACAGGTGGCCTCTTCCGTCCGGCCTGCACACACCTTCTGGAGGAGACAGGTGGAGTGGCTCACGTCCCAGAGAGAGGAGGGAAGCCTTGAACCTTACCTGAGGTGTCTGGGCGCTGCTCCGCCTCACCCGCCCCAGACTTGATGTAAATGAGGGCCTGAACCCTGGAACCGAGGCTTCAGCCTCTGCCAGATGGCATCTGGACGCTGAACCGAGATGCCTTCCCTGAGAGGAGTTGGGGTGGGAAAGGAGAGAAGGGAGGGGATCAGTGGGGCTGTCCCCACCCCTCACACTGTGACAGCCCTCTCTTCTGCCCCTCACACCTGTGTCTGTCCCAACAGAACACTGGGTTTCATGATCAAGGTTGGTTCTGGCTTACAGCAGCATGGGCTTGAGCGTAGGGATGCCTTGAAAGTACACCCTTCCCTCGCTGAGGAGGTTTTCAGGAAGGCCTCAGGGGTCTTTTGTAGCCCTTCCACCAACGCCACCCAGGATGACCATATCACAGGTGGGCCATGCATTCTGGCCGTTGTGTCTTGTTCAATAAAGCACCCTTGGAGCCTGGGCCCTGTGACCTGCTGGTCTCTGGCTGAGCAGTCTGGGTGCCAGGGGCACTCCAGTCTGTGGCCGAGCAGCATCTTAGCATCTGCCCCTCTTGGTGACCCAGCAGAGGTTGGCAGGGGAGAGGAGTGGGTAGCTGTGTGAGCAGGTGCAGCAGGCAGGGCAAGGGGGACACAGGTGAACAGAAGCCTGTGGTTGTGGGTATCACTGCCTGGCTCGTGTGGGGGTTGGAGAGTGGCTGCTTTGGGTAATGCTGTCTGGTGTCCGCCATGTGTGGGAGCGGGAGGTAGCCTTGGCTGTAATTGAGGACGTTGCTTCCCAACAGGAATTGGAAGGGGCCAAAGGCTCCCTAGCACTGTGCAAAGGCAAGACCCTTCTTACAACAGAGTTTGGGCCCTGCCAGTGGTCCCAAGTGGGTGCTGGCCACTGCAGGAAGGAACAAGGGTGCAGGGAACCTGGCAAAGGTCCTGCAGCTCTGGCCTAGCCTGTCCTGTCCCTGAGGACAGACAGGTGAGTCCTGAGCATGGCATGTACTGGCCCACCCCTTGCTGGCTGTCATGACCCCCGTAACTTCATCAGCCCCCCTTTGTCTTCCCAGGACTGGACCCTGGGGTGCTCTGTCTTCCTCCCTCCAACCCCATTTCCACCCCTCCCCTTGTCTTGGAGGAGAGCAGATGGGTCAAAAGAGATGCTAAATGAGCCAGTTCTGCTCTTTCTCGTAGGTCCATGGGCGCCACTCATCCCACCTTGGGCGTGTGTGTGTACACGCCTCTTTTCTGGTTTGCTGATCTACAACCTAGGACACCACCTGCTGCCACGGTGGAGCAGAGGATGAGAGGTGCCACCACAGATGCTGCCTGGGGAGTGGCCCCAGGTTTACCCTCTGCAATGCTACGCTGAGCCCAACCCCTCTCCTGCTTGCCAGCAGTGCCTGAACTTATTCTCTTGCCCCCACAGGGAGTCTTCTCCAGCTTGTCCTAGGATTCTGGGGCTTATGAGGAAGTGTGAGCACGGGGCAAGGGCTGAAGACAGATGCCCCAGGCCCAACCAACAGTGGGAATAAAATGGGGAACTGGAGGCAGGTTAAGCTGTGACCTGGGACACTGGCATCCCATATCAGAATGCTGGTTCTAGGATTCCCAGAAATGCTGGTTCTGGGAGATTGGTGGAAGATGGCCCAAATGCTTGGACCTTGCTCTCCATGTGGGAAGCACAGATAGAGTTCCTGACTCGTGACTTCCATCTGGCTGTTGCAACCACCTGGAAAGTGAATCAGAGGATGGAAGATCTCTCCCTCTGCCTATATCCTTTTCAAATAAATCAATTTTATAAAAGCAATGTGTGACGCGGGAACATTGGCTCTGAGACCCTTCCACTGCCACTCCAGCTGGCAATGGCTGTTCCTCTTCTCTGCCTACTCCCATACAGGCAGCCAGGAGAGGCAGAACACCCACTGCCCCTGGGCCCCTGGTTGTCGGCCCAAAAAAGCAGGTCTGTCCTCTCCAGGCCTACGCACCACACACACACACACACACACACACACACACACACACACACACACACACACACACAGCTAGGCTGGAGAGCCACTGTGCCACACCTCTCTCCCACTGCCTCCCAGGCAGACTCCACACCTTGGGAAAACACTGAAAATGTGGGTTTTTTGTCGAGGAGGGGGACATGATTCCTCCAGGGTAGGGGCATCATGCTCCTTGGCCCTGGAGGATTCGACCCCCTTCCCACCTCACCCGTCCTCAGAGGTCTAGGGGCTTGATACAGGACACAGATCTGTCCCCTCTGGAAGGATGTCTGGAGAGCTCTGGGGCAGCACAGGGAGGGAGCCAGGACTTGGCATCTCCTCCCTCTCAGCAGGAGAAAGGAGGCCTGCCACCTAGAACCATTATTCCTGGGCTTAGGGGCTAAAGTCCTCCCATATGGACACCAGTTCTAATCCTGGCAGCCCCACTTCCCATCCAACTCCCTGCTTGTGGCCTGGGAAAGCAGTCAAGGATGGCCCAAAGCCTTGGGACTCTGCATCTGCATGGGTGACCTGGAGGAGGTTCCTGGCTCCTGGCTCCGGATCAGCGCAGCATCAGCCGTTGTGGTCACTTGGGGAGTGAATCATCGGACGGAAGATCTTCCTCTCTGTCTCTCCTCCTCTCTGTATATCTGCTTTCCAATAAAAATAAATAAATCTTAAATCTAAAAAAAAAAAGAAGAGGAAGAACCATTATTCCTGATGAATCCAAATTGTTCCTGAGCCTGGCTGTGTGCCAGGCACCAGAAATGCAGTGCTGAACAAGCTCTCATGGAGTCCCCATTCTGGGGGAGACAGGACAGAAGGAAGCTAACAAGAGCAACCATTAAGCCCTCATGAATGGTGCAAAGCAGAAAACTGCAGTGGGGAGGAATAGCAGTGGGGCTTGTTAGAAGGTCAAGGAGCTCTCAGAATTTCAAGACAAGCAAGTCTGGAACGAGCAAGCAGTGCAAAAGCCCTAAAGTGAGCTTGAACTCGGCCAGTGTCAGAATAAGAAGCACTGGAGAGAGATGGGTGGGAGCTTAAAATAGAGAGGAGAGAGAGGGGCCAGCTCAGCCTAGGGAAAGTTTAGTCAGCCAGGGTGAGGAGCTGGTTTATTCTCGGGAAAATGGGAGTCACTGGAGGGTTTTCAGCAGACATGTGACACGATCCAATTTATGATTGCAAACATTGCTCTGCCTGTTGTGTGGAAACAGAGTGGTGGAGCAAGAGGGAAGGGGTGCGCTAGGAGGTTATTGCAGACAGAGCTGACCGGGATTGAACCCCCAAGGGTAGCTCAGACAGGCACCACCAGTCAGGTGAGTAAAAGAGAATATGGAGCAACATTTGGAATTGTGGTTTGGGTGCTTGGCTGTTTGGTGGAGGATCATCAGATTTGGTAGGAAACCCGAAACCAGCAGTAAGGCCATTAGTGCAGCGGTACTGTGTGGTAGAAGGAAGGAAGCCCTGGGATGCCTGGTTATGGGGGTGAGAGGGTGGGGGTTAAGCAGTGAGGCCAAATGTGGCAGGCCAGGAAGGATGCAGACAACCCTCAAGCTGGAATAGTCTACCCTCAGGATCTAGAGTGCAGGGGAGAAGGAGACTCAGGCTTGTCCACTTCTGAGTCTTCCCCAGGGGCATTCCTGGAGGGGGCTGGGGACTAGAAGTTAAGAGTTAGGAAGAAGTGGGTGGAATGTGAGCTCCAAGACTTTGCCTGGCTCACTGCTGCACCTTCGGTGCCTCCCTGGCACAAAGCAGGTGCTTTGTATCTGTCTAATGAGTGCAAAAGTAGAAGGAGTGAATTTCACCATGGAGCTAAGATTCCAAGTGACCAGTAATGAGGAGTTAGCCAGATTCCTGACTGAGCAGGTGGGAGGGAGTAAAGCAGGCAACGGGGAGTCCCCTTGCTAATAGCTCAGCTTCCTGCTTCTCTGTGTGAGAGCAGGTCATGCAGGGATGTAGAGCTGGCTGGATGGGCGTGGATGGACCCTTCCCAAGAGCAGGTGGCCCAGCAGATGGACCGCACCTGAGAAACTGGCACTGCCTAGGACTGCCACCAGAGGGCACCCTGGGCATATGACAGGGGAGAGAGACCTCACAGCCAAGCAGAGGCACAATTCCAATTTTTCTTCTGAGGAATGAGGGGGAACAAGGGAGTGGAGACTGGAGTAGTCACCTGAATTTGCTGAAGTGACTTTACTGACCCTTGACCCTGACATAATGCTAGGCCTAGACATGCACATAGGCTTAGCTTTATCAAGGACACAGGACACATGAGCAAGTCGTGAGTCTGGTCACTGAGCCCTGATCGGAGCCTGAGCCCTCCTCCTGCTCCCTTCCCCTGCTCCCTATGCAGTCCTGGCCTTGTTTTAGCCTGAACATGACCCTGGACCTGCTCTGAGCTCCGACCCTATCCACTCTACACTGAACCTTGATCTTTATTTCTGACAGGACTCTGACCTGATCCGTAGACCAAACCTTGACCTTTAACATATAGTACACCAGACACAGCGCTGATCATGACACACATTAGCCCCTATTCTGGACAAGGACCAGGTTTGGGAGCAGTCCTGAGCCTACTCCAAGCACTGAGTCCTGACTCTGATGACAGCCTGACCCTAGTCCTGGACTCTGGGCCTGTTGTGAACACTGACCCTAGACAAAGTCTGAACTTGTAGCAGGACTGCACGCTGAGCCTTGAGCCCTAAGACTTGCTCTCTTTGTCCCATATGGACCACAGGACCTTCTAGTTCAATGTCAAACCTAGCTTCAGCCTCAGAGCAGCTAACCCCTGGGACCACTTCTTGGGAAAAGAGGGATGGAAAGGCGTTACCTCATTACCTCTGGTTCTCAGAATGGTCCAGAAACGTGTGGGCATTGAACCCAGAGGGTCCAGGCACCGAAAGCCAGTGCCAGGCTGTGCAGGGCATCAGACAGGAGGACACCTGGACCCTCTCATTACTGAAGCCAGCTCTGGGAGAAGCTGCACTTCCGGGTGGCCTCCCAGG